CAAGCACCAGCAGTGTAACTTGAAACTTTGAAATTTCTTTAAAAATAAAAAATTGCACTGGGCCGCATTACGAACCAACCTGGGCCGCATGTGGCCCACGGGGCACGGGTTGGACAAGCCTGGACTAAACTCTGAAACAGGTGTTGGGTTTATTTTCTGTCACTATTAGTCACTGTTCAGTTGGGCATTTATTTTAGTGCAATAGAGTAGGATCATCTCAGAGTAAATAATAATTACACACCTTCATGTTAGCTCTGACTTGTGGTGACCCTTTCCAGGGTTTTCTAGATAGAGAGTACCCTTCCTTTCTGGGGGCACTTTGGGACTATGCAACTTGCCCAAAGTTACACAGCTGGGCCATGTTGCTGACTGAGAAACACAGTGAAGGATAACATTCCCAGTCCCTAGTTCTACCGCCAGATACCCAACTTGCTGAACTATCCAGCCAACTACCTCCTCAGAAAACATAACAAATTGTTTCAAAATCTTTCCCACATCTAAAGCATGCTGTAAATGCAGCTTCCTCCACACCTAAGAATCTTGTGGCACCTTAAAAATTAACAAGTTTTTTACCTAAGTATTCCTCAAGGTGTCTTATTACATGATTCATTATTCTTGTTGCAAAAGATTTAATATGGCTACCACCTGTAACTTCCTTCACACCTGTGTATTTGAATAATACAATCTTGTAACAATTGTGCCATCTGCTGATGAAAATCTGTGAAAGACTACACCATGTGTTCATGTGATGTCTAAAGTCAAAGTAGATTATTTAAGGATATTTTGGTAAACATCTGTGAAAGCTCATGCAGTATGGAACTACATAGTGGACAGAAATCTATGCTTACCTACACCAGAGTCAATGCAACAATGGCAGCAGAAAATTGCTGCTAGTTAAGGAGTTGCTGCTTCTATTCCTTTAACATGTAACAGCCTCATGACTTCACATGTAATAAAAATGCTAGCAGCAACTCCATATCTAGTGACAGTTTGCTGCTATAATTTACACTGTTGCATTTATGCTAGTGTATACTGTAAATGTAATAAGATTCTGGCCAGTATGACAATTTCTGCTATTTTTTCTCTTAGGATCTCTCACACTGCGAAAAGCAGCTTTTGAGGTCTTGAAAAATGAACAAAGAACAGGGAGATAGCTATTTCACTTTAAACTATTTGTTTCTCAGCCTACACCCACACGTTTTGATCCTGACCAAAACATGAAGGATTTGAAGATATATTTTATGTATTAGATAGAAAACCATCTGAGGGTGCTAGAAACAGTAATTTTGAGCACAGACACAGCTGGAAAGAAAAGGATCCAATACTCCTCCTTTTCTATGGTCTTCTGTTCACCTTGAAACTATCTGCAGCTGATTTCCCTGATAAAACCTTTGGATAATAGAATTCAGAATTACTTGTAATGCATGCCACCTTTAGTTTTTCTAAAAGAGGTGCACTATGAAACACCTGAATATTCTATGACTTGAGCATCAAAAAAAAAAGAATGAATAATTTGAGATGAGCATTTTTTTGCTGGGAACCATGATGGTTTGTGCATTCTACAGTGTTGATGTAATAAATCTTAAACAATTACATACATTCTTCTGGGTCCCTGATTTAAGCATGAAAAAAAAGAATGAATAATTTGAGATGAGCATTTTTTTGCTGGGAACCATGATGGTTTGTGCATTCTACAGTGTTGATGTAATAAATCTTAAACAATTACATACATTCTTCTGTGTCCCTGATTAGGCCGGGTCTCTCTAACACAGTGGTCCCCAACCTTGGGCATCCAGATGTTCGTGGACTACACCACCCAGAAGCCTTCACAACCACCTCTGTTGACCAGGATTTCTAATAAATCTAATTACATACATTCTTCTGGGTCCCTGATTAGGCCGGGTCTCTCTAACATATGACCAGAGGGATTTAAAGATCGGTGCTCTCCATGGAAGAGTATTATACCTACCCAAGGTTGGGGACCACTGCTCTAACATATGACCAGAGGGATTTAAAAATGGGTGCTCTCCATGGAAGAGTATTATACCTACACTTTACAGTTAACATTATATTTCTGTGAGAAATATTGATAAAGGACTACTCTCCAAATTTCAATCCCATATTATTCCGATGTCAACAAGCTATGTTTCTGCAAACAGATGATTAAGTTTAATATGCAAAAGAGGCTATGCAAGTATAGTTTGACATAGTTATTAAAGTAGTAACAATAGTATCCCTAGAAAATAACCAGAGTGTTGGCAACAAAGATATTATGGAGAAGATGTACTGTAACCTAAAACGTTGTAGACTCCTGCAGGAAAAAGGGGGTGGAAGTTGTTCCACCATGGAAATGGGTAAGTTTAAAGATGGGCAGCTACCCTTGAATTTGCAGTGGGAGATAGCAGAATGTCTAACAGGAAGGCTGTTCCTGAAATCACACTAGACAGATAGGTGCTATGTCAAGCTAGGGAAGCACTGTATACCTCCTTAGAAGTCCATGGGGGAAAATGGGATATGAATGTTCAGTCATCCTAAATCCCCTCTCAGAGCAGGAACAGAGGAAGCATTGGTCTTACCAACTAGTACTTGCCTTCCTGTGGTGTACAATGTAGAGCTGATTTAATAATATATTAAATCTAGTCTGCCTTACTTTATTTTCATTTTACTCTGCTGGACACCTTCACGTTACTTGGGCCATTTATTCCAGCTGAGAGCTTCTGGCTACAGAACTGTCCTGCTCCACTATATTTCTGATTTTGCCTTCAAATCCCCAGGTAGGAGTTCTCACTATGCTAAATCTATCTAGCAGAAGCAGAGTCAGGAAAATATTTCTCCCAGTCAACCTACATTTCATGTCCTGATTAATAAATTCCTTCCACATGTCAATCACATACCCTTCTGAACCACCTAACAAAACTGAGATGAGTGTTTTGTTTAGCATTTTCACCCTCTCCCTGGTCCCTTGCTTTGGGCAAATATGATACTGATAGCAGGAAAAACTAATGATAGCAGGAAAACGATAGTAATCTAGGGAGAAGCAGAATCAGCTCAGATAGCAGACTCTCATCTGCTGTGTATCAGGGACAAGGAGTAAAGGCAGAAACAAAAGAGGTAGGAAGTTTTATTCCAGAAAGCATCATATCTTTGACTGGACCTGGTGGCACAGAGGCTAAAAGGATGGGGTCCACTCTCAAGAACAGGATTTAGCAGTAAGTCAGGTAGCTGGACACAGCTGGCTGCTTCAGTGTACGGTTTCCTTGTCCACGTCAACCCCTGCCCTTCGTGGCAGATCTAGTTTGCCACCAGCTTAAAGCCACGTCAGAGAGCTGAAATGCAGCTGATGAACACCAGCAGCTGAAGGAAAGAAATTCAGATTAATACAGGTGCTTCAAAGTTTCGAAGCCACGTCAGAGAGTTGAAATGATGAATACCAGCAGCCGAAGAAGTTCAGATTAATACAGGTGCTTCAAAGTTTCAACCACCTTCTAGAGTTCTCCAGGGAAGCCTGTTTTTGTACTCTTTCTTGGTGGATGCTCAGTTATCCTGTAGCCCCATTCATTTGTCATTCCCCTATCTCTATAACTAAGGGATTGAGGGTAGCACACTGAGGGAAGGCACCATCATCAACCACCACCATGGAGCAGCTGCTCTTTAGCAGCAACAACAATTAAGGTTGTAACCAGGGTGGAGCAACTGGGGCATAGAAATCTAGAGATGGATTTATTGGTGAGTGTTAGGAAAATAAACGGCATCTTCGGACTCTCTGCAAAAACTACTCAGGCTACTAGTTTCCAGAAGATGACCCCTGGATGTGTCTCCTTTTGAAGACCTCTCCCGCTAAATGTATGATGCTGCAGCCTATTAACAGCAATCACCAGATTCCGCAGCGTAATCAGCTCCCGCTTTCAAAAGCTTGCGTTGCGACAACGTTGCCTTGGTCTGTTAAAGTGCCCTGCTTGTTAAGTGCTGGCAAGTCTCAACTCTTAAGAGGGCTATGAAGGCACGCGAGATGCTTTTCAGCGTATGATCTCCTTGTCCACGCCAACCCATCCTCCCACAGCCAAGCCGAGATCTGACTCCAGGTCCGCCATTCTATCCACTCCACACGGTACGACCCTTTTTATTTGGGCTGCAACAAGTACGACACACCTTTTCACCGAGATACAGTAACTACCTTTTGGGGCAAAACCAACTGGGAGATAAAACGCACTCATCCTGCCCGTCCCAGTCGTAGGGGATGGGTGATCGCTACGCAAGGGTGCCTCCCTAGGCGTGCGGCGAATCTCTTCGAAAACCCGCCCCGGGATTGCCAGACGGGCAGAGGCCGAAACGAAGCCTTAAAACCCTGTTTGTAACCCTTTCACCGCCGCTAGCAAAGCCGGCCCTTCCCCCTCACTGCTATTGGTCCAACGCTACGACCATTTCAGCCAATAAGACGTCTCTCTGCTCTCCTTTCCCGCCCCTCTGATCGTTTCCCGCTCGAGTTACCGCGGCTTTCAACGGAGAGGGGAGAGTGGGCGGGGCTTGCGCGCTAGGTCCTCTCCCCTGAGTAACCGTTGGGCCTGTCATTCAGCTTTTTTGGGGGGACGCGAATTTTTCCTCCCCACTTTCCCACTTCCTTGCTTTGGGTGCTGGAGTGATGGCGAGGCCCGGAGCTGCTCGACCCCACAAGGTAAAAAAAGAAAAGAAAAGAAAAACCCAACAACCACACCCGCTTCAGAGAAGTGCAGATAATTTGGGGATAATCCAAGAAACTTTTTGGGAGGCAGGTTCTGTGATACTAATATCTTCTACATCATGTCGGCAGTTACTTGTTGTGTTTGATGCTATGGCAAAGGCTGGGATTTCTCTTTCCCATCCAAGCCGGCAGCTAGATTTTAATGTTGCAGCGACCTAAAACGGTGGCAGGCTGCGAACTCTTGCTCTTTATCGGACGGGAGGCGTGTGCACGTAACTCGTATCGATCACAACACAATTATGAGTGTGCATGTAGTTCTGACGTGCATGACGCTCGCGGGGTAATATTAGGGAAAGGGGGCTAGAAAAACAGCATTTAAGCAGCACTAGCCGAAGTCCTATTGATTTTAGTGGTTGTTCTCTGGATCTGAGCCAGGAGGGGAGAGCAAGGCATTCAGGGAAAGATATTCGCGAATACAAAGATATCCAAGTTTGAGGTAATAATAATAATAATAATAATAATAATAATAATAATAATAATAATAATAATAATAATACTTTATTACGATCAACAGATCGGATGTGAATAACACAGAACAACCGCACAAGAATAAACAGAATCAATACAACTATAATATACATTATATGAGGCAGACTCTTAGGGAAACAAATTCCATAAATAATTGTTAGGAGCATACCCCCTACCCCCAGTTCATACATATTCATATATGCATTCATACATGTATATATCTACAGGATTAAGTTTGAGGTACAGTATAAGCAACTAGGGTGCATTGCTGCTTGAAGGTAGATCTGGTAGATCTCATCGTGAGTACTAGTAGATTTGCAGGGATTTCTGGCTAACCACACATTGAATGGAAAACTAAACCGGTTCGTGCCCCCAGGAAGCAGGGGGCGCTACCTGCTCCTCTTGTGCTGCTGCAGCCACCACAAGGCTACAACGACGAGGAGGCCCAGGCGCTGCCTCTGAGCAGGCACCTGACTCCCCGGTGGGTCACTCTGATCAGCTGGGCTGGGGGCGGCATGCCCTGCAGCAGCCAGCCCAGCTCTTGGAAGGGAAGCTTGACCTCACTGTCTCTGAGGATGGTGGGAGAGACAGCAGGACTAGGTAGGGAAGCAACAGAGGCAATGGGAAGGAGGTGGCTGGCCACCTGTTTTGCTGAAGCAAAATGAAGCACTGGGATGGGGGTGGGGGAGAGAATTGGATTGGCTTCTTGAGTGGCTGGTCATGGGCCTAATTATTTGGAAAAGAAGATCCATTTGCAATAGCTAGAAATTAAATCTCAAGAACCTAAAGCAATATATTGTTTTTTTAAAAAAAAAAATATTATTACATCTTTAGCACATTTCTCTTCCAGGAAGACGTCATCTGTCTGGTGGCTTTTCAAATATAAAGTCAATTATTTTGAATTGTTTCAAATATAAATTTAATATGCTTCATTGTTCACATGCTAAAGGTGTCAGTTCTCTATAATTCTGTTGGAGAATTAATATCTGCCCAGAGTACAGTGGTGCCCCGCATGACGATGATAATCCATCTCGGGAAAATCGCTGTTTAAATAGTCGTCATGGGAAAACCCTTTCCCCATTGGAATGCATTGAAACACGGTTTAATGCTTTCCAGTGGGGAAAATACCTTGTCGTCCAGCGAAGATCGCCCAAAGGGAAGCTTTTTGCGAACGCCGATCAGCTGTAAAAATGGCTGCCCTGTGAAGCATGGGTCCGGAAAACACAGGGCAGCCATTTTGCGAAGCCGAAAAAATTGTCGTCTTGCAAACAAACGGTTCGCGAAGCACGGATCTAATCGTTGTCCAGCGAAAATCCCCCATAAGAATGACTGTTTTGAGAATCACTATATGATCGCAAAAAAATCATTGTCATGTCGATTCATCGTTTAGCGGGGTCATTGTTTAGTGAGGTACCATTGTAGACTAAATGGGCAGGGTACAAATTTAATAAATAATAAATAATTATTTGCTATTATGTGCTTCCTTTTGGATTTAACAGGTACTGTCTTCAGGAAGCTATTATGTGCTTCCTTCTGGATTTAACAGGTACTGTCTTCAGGAAGACTGACAGGATCAAGTAAACTAGCAAGTGGGGGGAAAAGGTAAGTAGGTCTTCATTAATAATTTTTAAATTTAGCACAGCATGATATGAGCAGCTTATTGTCAGTATTGCTCATGGTCAATGACAAGGAACCTATGGCTCTCTGTATTGCTGTACTACATCTTCTACCAGTAGATCATCCTGGGTGGGGAGGATGATGGAAGTTAAGAGTCAAATTTCTAGAGAACTGTAGATTCTTCACCTGTATGCCTTGGATGTTGGTTGCAAAATGTCAGGTTTGACAGGCTTTGTAAAAGCAAGCCGTTATGGAGAAGGTGGTTCTGTGGAAATGTTTTCACCTTTCAAAAAAAGTTACCATATGGCTGGCAAGGAACAAATATTGCTTGAAGAAATTGTGATGACTGTATATAGTCTTCAGTTCTTTTTATTAAAGGTGATGTGCTGTGTCTTAAATACATTTTTCTACTGTTATTGTTGTAGTCTTTCTGGAATTCTGTATTAGCATTCTTACTTCCTAGTTTTGAAGATGTTTCCTAGTTGTCTTCTATATGTAGGTTGATGAGATTATCAACATATCATCTTTTTGTTCCAGGGTTGCTCTAAGAAAAGTGGTACATTCAGATGTTGATTGTGGGTACTCTCTCTATTCTACAGATTCTGAGGATCAGGTATTGAAGAATGCAGTGCACAGATCTAGGCTAACCTATATATTTTTAAATACAGTATTGTAGTCTTAAATTGTTTCAAAATTGACTTGATGACCAGAATTATTATTAAATAGAATTCACGATTTTAAATTAGCCATGTTGAAGGAGGAGTTAAGGTGTTTATTCCCACTAAAATGACAGTACAGTACTGCTATTCTAGTGTATTTGCTTTTTTAAAAAAGTTTCTGCCTAGTCTCAGAGAATGTATAACAAAAGACAAGAGCCAGCTTGGCACCTTGGATCTAGAAAGAGGGTTTCCTATGTGCAGCCTCTCCACACACTCAGTATTCACTTCAGAACAGTGGGAAATCCTCAAGGCGAGAGTGGTGGGTAGCATAGATCGTAGGGGGGATTGAGAAGGAGAATGTCTTCATATGGGCACAGCGTGGCCCATGTGCTCTTCTTCCTGGAGCAACCAATGGGGCTTCTTCTGTGGAAGTAGACAATTGGAGATTGAGCATTTAATAATGAAAGTAAAGTCACCACTGTTCATGCAACAGAATTTATGTAGGTGCAAAGTATTAAAACAACAGGGATTGCCAGCAATTCTGCCTATGTGGTTTTGCAGGTCTCTGAAGTGTCTGTGGAGTGAGTGCATTTCAGTAAATAGGGGTTCAAAGTTGTGGGATAGCCACTGATAGTGGTTCCATGTGTGCACAGGCATAATGTTGGAATTTTGGTACAGAAGTAGTCAGAACATCTGCATTAGAGAACATCAACTGACAGGCATATATATATTGCAGCAACTGTCACATGACCTAACAAACACATTGAAAGTGCTTGGACAGGTTATTTGATGTGATGAGGAGACAGTTTAAGGGAGAAGGCTTAAAGGGAGGTACCTGGTGTTCTACTGTTCATTGTTGAGGTGGTGTGACACTTTTCTGTGTCTGTCTCTTGTGTATACCTGGCATTGGACATTATGCATTAAGTTGATTTTGACAAGTGCGCTTGGGACTTGACAAGAGTGTCAAACACATTGAAAGTGCTTGGACAGGTTATTTGATGTGATGAGACAGTTTAAGGGAGAAGGCTTAAAAGGAGGTACCTGTTGTTCTACTGTTCATTGTTGAGGTGTTGTGACACTTTTCTGTGTCTGTCTCTTGTGGAGACAGTTTAAGGGAGAAGGCTTAAAGGGAGGTACCTGGTGTTCTACTGTTCATTGTTGAGGTGGTGTGACACTTTTCTGTGTCTGTCTCTTGTGTATCTGTCTCTTGTGTATACCTGGCATTGGAATCTTCTTATTGAGTTGAATTTGACAAGTGCGCTTGGGGCTTGACAAGAGTGTCAAGCAGAGCGGCATCGCAAAATGTGTGTGGACGTAAAAGACTTCTGCACTCATGTTTTTTGTTGTTTGAAAGCAAATTAATGCTAGCATACGAGTTAACACTGCATATCTACCAGTCTTCAGATACATAGTGTGTAAAATATATACTTCTTCAGAATTTTACAAGTTGATTTTGACAAGTGCGCTTGGGACTTGACAAGAGTGTCCAGCAGAGCAGCATCGCAAAATGTGTGCGGACCTAGAAGACTTCTGCACTCATGTTTTTTGTTATTTGAAAGCAAATTAATGCTAGCATATCTACCAGTCTTCAGATGCGTAGTATGTAAAATATATACTTCTTCAGAATTTTACTTCTACATATACACATTATACTGATGTATATGCAATACATGCTTTTCTCTCCGTGTTTGTGTGTATAAACATATACACACACCCCTGTGTACACATTCTTAAAATCCTATTTTCTCAGTTTGTATATAACCTGAATGAATTCTGTGGTAAATCTGAAAATGGAAATAAAGATCTTGTTTTGAAAGAAAAAAGAAAAAAAGTGGAACAAGCCTGCCAGTAATTTGGGGACCAACATATTAAAAATCCTGCCTTGCTTTTTCTCCCTGTCTCCATTCTATTCTGTATCTGCTGCAATTTCCAACACTGTGCTGTACAATATCATGCCTTTAACTCCCTTCTAGCAAAAGATGGGCATGTTAATAAAAGTTCATATTTGGCACGTAGAATGACATCTGTGAAGAGCACGTACGGTATATGCAAAGTCCTTTCTTATCCTAATTTTAAACTACTGATAAGGTTGTTTTTCCCCTCGTTGCTATGATTTATTCATGGTTTACAGCATCCGCTAGCTTACACAATAAGGTTAGATTAATGTTGAGGAATTTCCTTGTTTGGAAACTATTTGCAAATGTATCCATATCTTCTTCACAGGTCACAACTATTCATCATGGTCTTGATCGCTGTGCAGCTTTACTGAAGGACATTTTGCAAAATGAATCCGAAGACGGTATTCTTTTGATTACTTGAGCTCTGTTTTTGTTCTATAAATGGCTTCTTTATCATACATGGTATTCTTTTGAACAATGCTAGGAATGGAAACACTCTATCGGAAGGCAGGGAAGGCACCTGTCGTCAGAGCAGCCTCCAGACCTTTGGCCAATAAAGGAAGTGGTGCCAGGAAGAGGGTCCCCAAGAAGAAAACTCTTTCTGCAAATGTGCATAAAGAAATAGGTAAGTCGTTTTCTTTCTGCTTAAAAGGCATATGTTAATCCTAATCTTATTTTATATGTTTGCTCAGCTATATTTATTTCTTTATCTGTTCATTATTAGCTGTAGGGTACTTGAAGCAAAATTATAAGATAAAATGGTTCTATTTTAGGGTTTAGCTCTGTTTTTTGGGGGGGTTGCGGATACTTCTGTTACACTGGAGACATTCTATAGTCGTCCCATATTAGTAGGTCAGATTTGCTTCATGGTGGCCCATCTTCATCTTCAGACTATGCATGTACTCACTGGTGAAAGTAAGCAGATTAAATATACAATTTTGGGTCACATGTGCCACTTGGAGTCTCTCAAACCAGAATCACATGACATTATAACAGATCCTGCTGAGCTTTGCACTGGTAGGAAAGAATAAATTCTGAATAGTCTTTAAGAATATGAGAGTATATGAAAAAAAAATCAAGATAAGAGTGGGTGAAACCTTTTTTAGGCCACTGAAATCTCAGACACAGAGGCTGTTTTTCGAGTCCGTACGAATCTTTCTCAGGCTGTGTGTTCAAGAGCTCTAGGTGGTGCAGAGGAAATGGAGAGTTTCCAAAATTCATGGCCAGATGTGCAGGCCATGTTCTTTATGTAAAGAAGCTTTCAAAGCTTGGGCTATAGAATCCACCCAGAGATAACAGGTCTCAGATTTCACATCTGGCAATGTGGATTGTAAACACCAAACCTGTTAGACAAAGTCTTTGCACTTATTTTTTATTCTCAAAAGTACAAACAATGATAAATTGCCCTTGTATACAACAGTAAATATTGTGGAACAGTTATCAAGTTGCTTTTTACTTCACTTATTCCAAGAAGTATTTGTTATTGTTGTTATTTTGATATATGAATAATTCTAATAACCGGTGGGACATATATGCAATGCCCTTTCAAAGATAACCAGGGGAAAGTAGGATGCCAAATGGTTATCACTGTATCTGAATTCTATTAAATCTTACCATGCTAATAACTTATTTTCTTGATTTTTTTAGGGCCAGTGTCAGATAGGAAGCCAGTTCCTGTGGCTGCAAGTGCTGTAGAAAAGGGCACAGCCTCCGTAGGCACTGAGCAAGCCCTTTTGATCCGAACAGCTCCTGTACCTGGCACTCATCATTCTCCTGTAATTCATCAGAAACTGTGTGAGCATGTGCAAACCCAGATGGCTCTGCTAAATGTCCAGCCTCCACAGAAAGCTAATGAAAAGCCTGAAGCACAGGTTTCTGTCATGCCTGAAAATGGTGAGTATAAATATCATGTTTAGTTTACTCAGCCACATTTTGTTACTGAAATTAACCTCTTTATGAGGTAATTTCATTAATTGATTATCTTCTTATTGTTGCTCCATTGGTAGCATCGTATCAACCTATTACAGCATTCAACTCCCGTTTACCTACATCAACACCAGCATTGTCCCCACAGCAAGCAACCAGTTCTGAAGGCATTCAGCCTGTAAGTATTCCACTTACGCGGCAAGTGACCAGTCAAACTGGAATTGCCGTATTTTATTCTGAACAAGCCTATGGTGGCAGCATATTTTTTGCTTTGATTTAAATCTGTTTAAGCAGAGGATTTTTAACATCTTCATGTTCCCATCACTGTTTGCTCTACCCTATGTCACATTCGTTTTCTGACTTCAGGAGGAAAATAAACAAGTATTTATTTTCTATTATTTTGTACTGTGACATAGTAGCTAGAATGCTAAAAACTAAGGATTAACCTTGTGGAGAATCCTGCTTTCCTTGAAGTGGGATTATTTTGGAAATACAGCAATGCTGCATTGAGTCTGACATACATGGCCTATCTAAAGTGTCTTTAAGAAGGGGAGAAGGGCTAATATATGCTTCCCAAAAGACATGAGAGATGAAAGTGCAGCATTTAAGTTTAGAGTGCAAGGCGGTGTATCTAAAGTCACTGATCTTTTTTGTTATTTATGTGCAGATCATGGTACAAGATTTCAAGGAGGAATAAATTACTTCTATTTGTTTGTAGGTTGTCTCCGCAGCCAGCTGTGGCCAGTGTGCATCACAAATGGGGCATGTATTTTCATCCGCACCGTGCATCATTTCCAATTCTGCTCCACAAGGGCAGCCGGTTGCTGCTTGCTCTGCTTTGACCCATATGATTCCTTGTGCTCCAAATGATCCTACACCATCTACAGTCCTTCCTCCACCTGTAAGCAGAGAGGCTGCATCAGCACAAGGAAGCCATGAGCAGCTATTTGAAGAGGCAGACCTCATACGTTGTATTCAAGCACACCTAGCTGCGTTGCAGGCACATGAAGAGAAAAACAGGAAGGCAAATGAAAAGTATCAGGAGACAGATGCATTACAACCCCAGCCCTTGAATTCCAGAGGAGAGGAAAATACTGAAAGCTGTAGCGAGGGGAGTCTTGGCGAAGAGGAAAACTTGGATGGAGTTGATGTGGCACCCGTAAGAGACACAAGCTGTCAGACTAGTTTTGACAAGGAAAGGTTAAAACCTAAAAAACCAAGTCTACAAAAAACAACTCAGAAAATTAAAACAGTGAAATATCTTTTGGGAGAGCTGAAAGCCCTGCTAAGAGATCATGGTAATACAGACTTTCTGTTCATACTTTGGTAGAGAGAATATTCTGTGAAACGGGCTAAATTGAGGAATACTGTGGGAGAGCCAAACCTGAGTATTCTTGTGCTAATACTACAGATTTCACTGTTTCCCTGAAAGTTTGAATTATTTTATCTTTTTTAGACCAATAATGCACTGTGACTTTCTTCTATACACATATTACTCATAACCAAATGCGCCTAGTGGCGCAGTGGTTAAAACGCTGTACTGCAGCTAAAACTGTGCTCACGACCTGGGGTTCAAATCCCAGGTAGCCGGCTCAAGGTTGACTCAGCCTTCCATACACACATCTTAATCATAACCAAATGCACCGTATTCACACTTTGTTTATTACTGCTAAACATTAGGGGGTTTATGTTTCAAAAAAAACTTCATTAAACACAAATAGAATGGTGCAAACCTTTCCTTTGATTTTTTTTTCTTGTCTGCTCTTTTCTGAGTGCTTTATTTATCACATCCATCACAAAAATGTCCAGTGCAATTTATGATGTGTATTGGGGTTGAGCCCTAAGACATCTTTAAACGATTATTGAGCACAGCAAGCAGGTGATGAGTATGTATACTTTGTTTATTATTGCTGAACATGAGGGTTTTTATGTTTCAAAAAAATTCATTAAACACAAATAGAGTGGTGCAAACCTTTCCTTTGATTTTTTTTTCTTGTCTGCTCTTTTCTGAGTGCTTTACTTATCACATCCAGATCAATCCATCACAAAAATGTCCAGTGCAATTTATGATGTGTATTGGGGTTGAGCCCTAAGACATCTTTAAACGATTATTGAGCACAGCAAGCAGGTGATGAGTATGTATAGCTACCTTGTTATTTTGCCTCACCCTGGTGAAATGCTTGGGCCAAGAAATGCATTCTGAGGGTTTATTTCAGTACTGATACAAGTGTTACATAGAGAAGCACTCAGAACTGAACAGCTGAGGTGGTATCCAGCATTCCACTGGCAGTACCACTGGGATTTTCAGTTTCTTTTTCCTGAAGGCCTCAGAGTTGACTGATAATCAGATGAAGAACATTTTCTTGCCATCCAGTGCAGGGATTGGGGGCCTCTGGATGTTGCAGCAGGGCAGTGGGTTTGTATCCCCCACACATACACACAGAGGATTCTGCTCTTCTGTGAGTAGGCATCTAGTGTTGGGTACTGCCCAGGGCCAATTTCCTTTTACCAGGTATACAGTACAATTCATTTGAGGCAACAAGATGTTTACGGTGGAAATAGAGCTCCCTGGTTTCATCCACACTAGCTGTAAATGGAATTTATTCAAGGTCATGCTGCCATTCTTAACATTTTGCCCATGAGACATTGGATATGTACAGTTCTAAACAAATCTCTTCAAAGAAAACTCATTTCTGCTTTGTCCTGCTCTTCTTAGGCATCTAGTGTTGGGTACTGCCCAGGGCCAATTTCCTTTTACCAGGTATACAGTACAATTCATTTGAGGCAACAAGATGTTTACGGTGGAAATAGAGCTCCCTGGTTTCATCCACACTAGCTGTAAATGGAATTTATTCAAGGTCATGCTGCCATTCTTAACATTTTGCCCATGAGACATTGGATATGTACAGTTCTAAACAAATCTCTTCAAAGAAAACTCATTTCTGCTTTGTCTCATGCTAAGATTGCAAGAGTAATACATGAACATCTCTCATACAGTCCTAAGCCTAAAAGGGTGATACTGAGGACAGGCTCAGTTTCAACTTGTAGTACTGCAGGTTATGCAAAACCTTATATAGCTGCACTATGCAGCATGGAGCCCTGAATATTTTGCACTGTAATGATGAGTTCTGAAGAGTGTGTGCTTGACTACTGTACTTATATCAAATGGATCTCCCTTTTTCTTGTAGAGGATTCAGAAATTTTGAGACTTCTGGTTGAAGCTGAAGACCATGTATCACTGATGCCAGAAGCTGATGGAAATATAAATGTGCAAGCTGAAATAGCACTTGCTGTTCAGCCTCTCAGAAGTGAAAATGCCCAATTGCGCAGGTCAGTAGTGTGTGTGTGTGAGAGAGAGAGACATAGAAAAGCAAACTTCTGAAGGCTAGACTGAGTTCCCTAAATCACAACTTTGACAGTTATGAAAGGATGAGAGTATGGTTAAAGTGAAGGCATGTGTTTCTGAATTTGGATTCTGTTTTTCAAGGCATCAGTAGGCCTATGTGAGAGAGAGACACACAGAGAAGCAAACTTCTGAAGGCTAGACTGAGTTCCCTAAATCACAACTTTGACAGTTATGAAAGGATGAGAGTATGGTTAAAGTGAAGGCATGTGTTTCTGAATTTGGATTCTGTGTTTTTCAAGGCATCAGTAGGCCTTGTTTCAGCTTTGCCATTTTAAAGACAGAAATACAATGAATTCACTTTATTTCTCACCTTTCTCCCCAAAAGGGACTCAGGGTGGCTCACATCATTAAAAAGACAATATGCAAAAGCTAAAAACAGTAAATTTAAAAATATTTTTAAAGAATTAGACAAGCATATTAATGCGGTAAATAGAAGGAAATACAATGAATTCACTTTATTTATTTATTTCTCACCTTTCTCCCCAAAAGGGACTCAGGGTGGCTCACATCATTAAAAAGACAATATTCAAAAGCTAAAAACAGTAAATTTAAAAATATTTTTAAAGAATTAGACGAGCATATTAATGCGGTAAATAGAATTACTGTTAAACCACATTTAAAACAACAGAGCACTGTTAAACCAACAATTCGTTTAAAAATTCCTCTCAGACCAGCAGTCATTAAAGAAAAGCCTGTCTTTTAAGATGTCTCAACCTTTGTAAAACCTCCAACAGTTATCAACTGTATAACTAAAACTAATGATATTGATAAGTATATGGAGGTTATAATACCAACAGAACAACTTGCCCTTCTGGTATCCTGTATCTTTTGATTTGGCAGATCTGGAGAAAATAAGGTATTTTAAAATAAGGCATATTCTTTCAGGTACTAATGCTGATGTATCAGAGAAAGTGGCAATTCTCTTGAAATAGATTATTCGGAAAAGGACGCTACCCAACCCTAGTTAACTGGGCCGAATTTGATAGTTGGCTTTACACTTCTTCAATATGACCTCTGTCATGATCATTGACTAGCTGGATTTTATTTGTTTATTTCTTTATTAGTCATGTAGTTACTATTTTATTTTGTTTATTGGTTCTCTATTTACTATTTTATTCTGTTTTTCTTTAATATGTTAATAAAGGGATGATGATTTAGCAGGTGAAAGTTAATCTGTTCCCATCCCCATTTGTACTCCAGTAATTTTGGCTTGGAAGTGGAAAGTTGGAGAAAAAGTTGCAGCATAAACCTTGTCCCCTTTCTCCATCTTCACTTTCATGTGGAAGTGGTCAGCAGAGGTGAAGGATCTGCAGAGAGACCCAGCAGGCAGCAGGATTCCACATAACAACTGGCTGAGGCGTGCCAAAAAGTATTCTGGCAGTCAGTTAGTTAGTTCCATTAGTCTGGTTACTACTAGCTGATATGCTAGTAGTAATACCAAAAATTAGTTTGCATACTCATCACAACATCTCTGCTACTCTGTGATATACTGGTTGACTGTTTTTGCTTACTTTGATCAGATTAGCAGAGTTAACATCAAGCTGTTTGGAAAACAGCATCTCAATAATAGCTGTTCAGTTGCATAATGTGAGTTACGATGGAAGCTCTTTGTATCTCTGCGTATTTTCAGTAGATATGGGCCAGACCTTTTGTATGGATAGATATGGGTCAATTATCTTAAGCAATATTCTGTACACACAAGATCTACCAGCAACCAAAAAGTTTTCTCAGAATGAACAACAAAAAATAGACTTTTAAATCTCTGCATCAAACTGGAACTGATTTCCTCCTGCACATTTTCCTTAATTTACTCATAGACGATTAAGAATATTGAATCAGCAACTCAAAGACCAAGAGAGGGCTGAGAAGGAATACAATTTTGATAGCAACTTTGAATGTAAGTGGCCATGTGAAAGGCTTTCTACAGAATATGAAATTAATAATTTTTGTTGGGTTACTTCAGTTTCTATCAAGTTTTCTGCCCAATGAAGTACTTGGGAAGCATATTGCAAATATACAATGTAACAGTCACTTGTTCATTCAGTCATAGTATCAAGATGGGGTAAATAGTTGTTAATTTTTACTGTATATGTGAGAAGAGAACCATGTTTTACAGTTTGGCTAAAATGTATTCAGGAGTTACCTGGCTAACTGTAGCTTTGATCTCAAGTTTAATTCTCTAGTTCAGTGGTTCTTAACATGGGCAATAACACCCCCCATGGGGCGATTTCATTTTTCAGGGGGTGGTAGAATGAAAAGGGGCGGCGTGGGAGCGCTGGACAGTGCAACATACTGCAATGATTGAATTAACTAGCTAGCATCTAGGAGTGGCCCCAGATAAAATGTCTTGAAGCAACTGGTGCTGGAGATCACAAAAGCACACTATCTTTTCTTTCTTAATAAAGTACTAGTTATGCATTTGAACTTGTCTTTCACACAAATTTGTTTTCTTCCCATAGTTGTCTCCCTTCAGGCTTTGAATAAAGCACTGCAGCAACAGTTGAATGAATCCATGAAAGGCATTGAGTTGCTGCAGAAGAAAAATGAAGAAGTCACACAACTCTTAGAAAACCAAAGAGAAGAAAATAAAAGACTAAACAGGATAATCTATGAAAGAGAGCAAGAGCTGCTTGAAAAGAAACAGCAATATGACATTGAGTCAACCAAGCTCAAAATGGGTGTGTAGATTTGATAACCTCTAGGGGTTACAGTGTTTGTTTTATTAACATCAAAGTTAAGATTTACATTTTATTAAAACATATTTTAGAAGCAGACGAGGTGTTGACAAACCTGAAGAGTGTCCAATATAAATTAGAAGTTGCTGAGAAAGAAAACCAGATTTTGGGCATAACGTTGCGTCAACGAGATGCAGAAGTGAATAGACTGTGTGAATTGACTCGGTAATGTTACCTTTGATATCTTCTCTTCCTGTTTTAGCAAAACTTTAGACTCAGTTAGAATTTTTTTTTAAATTCTGAAAATTGTGCAGTGTTGAGGATAAGTGAGATCAAATTCCCCAGAGTTGAGGTACGAGAGAGAGAGACAACAAATTGCAGCATGGTGAATTTCCTTCATTTAACTAAAATCACAATTTCTGAAGCTAAGATCTGTATGTGACAAATGAATTTAACTGAACTTCCTTCTACTTACATAGAAGTTATCTTGGAGTTTTGGAATGGACTTTAAATTTGGAGAATTTGCAGGACTTGACATGCCTCTGCCATAATAATCAGTGGGACATATCCTGTAGTTTTGAACATTAAAAAATGTACAGGTCAGGTATTAAGTTAACTGGACTCCTCACCAGCATCCAATGGTATTCGTCCCTCTATTTTCACCAAAATCAGCAACTCTCCCCTCTTCTGTAACTCTTTCTGTTCCCTAAAAGCCTGCTCTGATGGGCTGGAAAACCATCCTGGACCATGGAAAGCTGCTGTAGGAAAGAACAGGGAAAGAACCCTGTTACATAACAGCACTGATGTTACCTGTCTGTCATGGGTTTGGAGGGAAAGTTCCATCCTATGGGGAGTGGAAGGCGGGACATCAGGAGGAGGGGCTGTACTGTATAAATATGTGATGCCTGTGTGGTGAAGAGGAGATGCTGAGACAGACTGTGAGACACTGGGTTGGGACGAAGCAGCAGCTGGGGAAGAAGAAGCTGTTGTGGGAGTCTGGGTGTCTGACAGGGTACTACTGTGTGTCAGAAATAGAAGTTATCTTTCTCCTTGAATAATATAGGTAGAGCCGCCACCACCCCCCTCTTGATTCCAAGCACTCTGGTTGTATGGGCCAAGAATGGTGAGGCACTTAGATTTGACCTGAATGTAGCTGTTCAAGAGAGAAACCTCCATGCCACAAGTGGACTGTTTCTAAAGAGTTAAAAAGGTTCTAGGTGAACCAAACTGTATGCTTGTGTGTGTGAGAATAAGCCACGTTACTTTATTTTATTCACCTGATTGTTTTATTTACCCTGTTTGTATTTAAAATAAACCTTATTCTTTTATTGTTTAAAAATCCATCCCTGGTCTGTGTGACTTCTTATAGGGAATGGTTGGTGGCAGCTTAGTAACTGTGTGATAGATCCCAGTAGGTCTGGGTTTGTCACAAACCCTTTTCAACACCAGCCCCAAGGATCCTTTCTCTTTGAATAATATCGGTAGCGCCACCACCATCCCCCTCTTGATTCCAAGCACTCGGGTTGTATGGGCCAAGAATGGTGAGGCACTTAGTCTTAGATTTGACCTGAATGTAGCTCTTCAAGAGAGAAACCTCCACACCACAAGTGGACTGTTTCTAAAGAGTTAAACATTGTCTAAGAAGCTAAGCAGTAAAGTTACACACTGTTTACCCATCTCCTAGGCAAGGTACAAGTTTAGGCAGTCTACAGAAGTAGCTATTCTAATCTAGCTAGTCTATTGCTTAAGGCATAGCTAAGCCACACTTACTTAGGTATTGCATATTCTCCAGCCCTAGAATCCATCATCTGTAGTGATCACATCTCTTTGGTAGGGAAGGCAGGTGGTAACTAATCCCTTTGTTAAGCTCTTGCCCCTGTACTTGTAAGTTTTCAGCCCTTTGTCTATTCCTGATCTCCTGGCCAATAGGCAAATCAAAAGGTCTTTTGATCTAAACACTCAATAGTCTGTATAGGTGAGCTCTTTTCTGAGTATATCTCCATACAAAGAGAAGAAAGCCAGCTTGCAGCTTGCTTTCTTGCCTTCCTGCCAGATGGTGTTTCTCACAAGTCCATGGTGAAGCTTGAAGCTTCTTTGAAATGTATGTTTGACTTTTGCTGGAAACATTCTTAAAAGATGTGAGTCTGATAACATCTCTGATGCTTCATTTATGTCTCTGGCATCCAAATATTTCATAATTTGCAGCAAAGGTGGGTCCAGAAGTTACACTATTTACACTATGCCAAGAATAGGATTTGTGGCAGTGTGTCAGATCATCAGTTCATCTAGCCCAATATGTTCATCACTGCTGACTGTCAGCAGCTCTTGCAGAGTTTTTGGCAGAAATCATTCCTAGGCTTTTCTGGAAATGCCAAGGGCTTAACCTGGGACCTGTGTGCCGGCACTGAGCAATGACCCCCTTCCCAGTGAAGCACCCTCTATTCCTTGGTGATTTCACATCCATGTCCTAACTTGGAGATTGTACAGTCAGGTGAGATTTGGACATATATGGTGATACGGTGGCACAAAGGTACATCATTAAATCTTGTCCTTTCTCTTTGGTGTAAGGAGAACATCTATAGAGTAAAAAAAAACACCTTATACAAGTATCTTGCTTTAGCTTATGGCTTTATATTTTCTTTTAACGTATTTGGAGAGAAGATCTGGCATGCAAGTAACTTTGACAGATTGCTGGAATGAATGTGGTGTACCGGTGCTTGAAAATTGGCTGATAGCAGGTCGAGAAATCTTGGAATTTATGTAGGTTTATTGGTTTTAGAAAGCCTTCTAATATTTCATTCACAGACTCAGAAGGAGAGTCAGAGTTATATAGAACACGCTGGGAAATGCATATAACTTGATAATGAATTCATTATTCTATTAATGGCTCTGGAAAAACATCTTTATTGCATAGTACTAGAGCTGGGACTTCAAATGTGAAGAGTTGTTTAAACAGAGATAATGGCGAAAAACACTAGTAAAGAAACTTTGCAGTTTGTCTCTAGCTAGTTAATCAAATATAGGGAAACCACTTTCCTCTTAACTCATTTTAGCTATTTCTGAAAAACTCCACTAGAATCCAATTGGTGTTACATAAGGTTTGCATAACTGGCTGAAGTTAATTGATGCAGTGTCATTTTAGTTGTGCACAGAGTCATGCACCCACTTGTGCAACTGAGATGCATCCCAGCACTTCATTGGTTGACTGTGGCAAGTTAAGCAAAACTTACATGAACACTGGTAGGATGCAGGCTGCTGTTTAGTTTTGCTTTTTGGCTTTGTTGTTGTTAATCTGTATTGGAGTACTACTTTAATTACTCTCATCAAAATGCTCACATACACTTTTGTGACATTTAAGTTCTTCCAATCTTTTCATCACCCTGACGGTAAATGAAATAAGCAAGGTAGAGAATGATGGTAGTGGATGGAGGGTCGACTGCTATTGGAGACAGGGAGTCTCCCTTTAGTCACAGTCACAAAAAAGGATGTGGAAGCGGGTAGCAGAAATTCAGATCAGGCTTTGTAAGGTACTGTGCAAGTTATGCTGGGAATTGCTCACAGGAGTGCAGCATGAAGTGGTTGATGGTATTACTATGTTGCATCCTACTGTGTCTGCCAGCGGAGTAGGCACCACTTATGGAATAGATTCCCTATCCCTTTTGCTCCGAATCTGCCCTGGTGGGGAGGGGACTCAGTTGAGCAGATTTGGGGGCAGGGGGAGAAAGCAAGGGATAGAACCTCTTGGTGTTGAAAAGAACAACATAAAGTTATGTTGAAAAGAACAACCTTGAAGAAGGTGCATCTGTTTCTGGAGTAACATGAGAGCTTGTTTGGAAATTAAAATATAGCTTTGTCAAGACATAGTTATTAGTATGTGACACAGAGTCCTTGAGATTATAATGGCCAGCCACCAGATGGTGGTAGTGATTCAGTATTGAATTTTTTTCTGGTAGAAAATGATTGTTCTGCACATGGCGTTTTATTATAATTTTGATTTTAGCATGGATTCTTACTCTCTCTGTTGTTCCTTGACACAGTCCTGTTAGGAGTCATTATAGCCAGCAGCAGTGGACTTCCATAGTGCAGCTCTACATGGTGGGGAATTGCATGCATGATTCTTCCTGTGTCCCAGATGTGTACGTTGTAACTATGGGCCCATCTCTAAAATTTGACACATCAGCTGTTTAGGAAGTAGAACAGAAGGGCTGGATTCAGCAAACACTTCTCCCTTCTCCAGATAGCTAGCTGACCAGTAGAGTTTTTCTTTTCGTTTAATTCATTCCGTGTCGTTGAAAATAACTTTGCCAGTTCATCCCCAGCTGCTTCGTGGTTGGGGCTTTAGATTTAGAGTACTGTATAGTGGTTTTAGCACTACCGTGAGCGGGAGGGAATTATGACTGATAGGTTTAATCAACACACTTTAGAAAGGTATTTCCATTTTCTAAAATGACAGCTAGTAACGTGGAGTGAAGGAAATGACACAGCTGTTGAGGGTGGGCAGAGCTCTTTGAGTCACTCTCAGCTGGAGATAAGGGATCTTGCAGGGCTTTAAAAGCTTGTGTCGCATTTCTCGAGCTATCAAAGAATGAGAGAATTGTGTGTGTATTGTTTCCATCCCTACTTTGTAGTCTTTTTGAAGTCTGTCCCCATTTTTCACCAGGCTTCGTTATCATAAACTCCATATAAGTATGATGCAAATGTATTCACTGCTCTGTGGTAGAAAAGTACTTAGATATGCCAGATAGCCATACTGATGCCTCAAGAGCAAGGCAGACTTAAAGAAATGTGTGTCTAAGTCCCACAGTCGACTCTCTTGTCAGGTCCAGTTAAGTGGATGTCAGGTTGCAGCCTAAAAAACAGGGACTTGAGAGAGACACCTTGTATTGTGGCTCTGTCTCATTTGTAGCTCTTATTGAAATTAAACTGCTGAACTCTTCTTCACAGGGCTCTGCAGGGCAGCATGTCCAGACTTCTTGCAGACCTCACTGTGGACACGGCTAAACCAAAACAGGAAAGGAGCCTCTCAAAGGCTCTCTTGGAGATTCATGAGAAACAGCTGCAGAGTGACGCGTACCCTCTAAGTGATTCCATAATGAGCTACCTCAAAAGATTAGAGACAGGCCTTGCTCCGATCATTGCAGAGCCCCTCTTATCAAAGAGCGAAAGGAAAGCATCAAATCCGGGAGGTGACATCCAGGCCACAGAGCAGCCTCCTCCAAAGAGTCCTGTTGTTGTAGAAGAGATTGTGGCGCCAAAAACTGTTTTTACCTTTCTCAAGCCTGATGTGGAAGGAGCCAGCAACGCCAGTACTTTAGTGGAGGGGCTGGAGCCAGATGAAACGATTTACATTCCACTGAGTAGCAGTCCCTCTCGAAAACCAGCCGCAGCAATGGAAAGGAGGGCTGGAGGACAACAACAACAACATCCGCTTCCCAGAAAAGTGGACAGAGACGCTGGGCTCGTGGATGGTAAGCAGGCCAGTCAATTTGGGGTGATGGGCGGCGTAAATGTCTCTGATAAATTCTGCGGTAGCTGTGGTCCAAAAATGACTGTTGAAAGGAAAGCTGAAACTATGGGAAGGCCAGCAAAGTTGGAAGGCAGGGAGCTCCAAAGGCAGCCAAAAGAAATAGCAAACGGAGCTGCTAAAGTGATTTCGGACAATCCAGACAGGCTTCACCCTGATAAATTCCTTCACACTCCCGTTGCACATCAGAAAGGAAACGTGCAAGGAAAAGGCCCTGGAATTTCTGCCCCTGATTCCAGTTTTTCAGCTTTTGACTGGATGTCAGGAAAATCTGACTGGACTTTCTCTTCTTTTTCAACATTCACATCCAGAGACGAAGAAGACTTTAAAAATGGCCTAGCAGCCTTGGATGCTAATATAGCTAGACTGCAAAGGACATTGCAAGATAGTTTGAAAAAAAACGCAAGTCCTTAAAGGACTTGTATGTCAAAATTAACTGGGGAGAACAAGTGTTTTTGGAAAATCAATTATATATCTTTTTTCTACTGTATTTATATTAATTACTGCGTCTTGAATCATTGGTGTAAATTGAGCTTATTTTCCTACTGATAAAGAGCTGTTTCATAAGTGAACATTAACTTGAAGAGAAAACCAATCAAGAATAAATCTCAAATATGCCTGTAAGTGTTTCTTTTAGAATTTTTTGAAGTACAGCTATCTTAATAAAGAAGTGTTGAATAATGCATGGATAGAACATATATATCTTTATGTACCTGCAAAGCACACACAGTAAAGCGATATATAGCCTCAATAGTAAAGCCCAAGTTCACTCTGAACACTCGCCCTTGTGTATTTGCCCTGCTCTACGTCATTGATGCTACCATCGTGGGATTGCTCTTCTTGCTCTGTATTTTCTTCTACCCCATTCCCCCATTATTTTCAAAGCCCAGTTAAAGGTACGTGTGGGTTCATATATGCATCAAAATTAAGAGGCAAAAATTGTTGCAAAGCTCATCTGCCTGAGTGCATCTCTTATGGCCAAACACATTTTTGTTTGTAGAGATGTAGTGTGTTGTGCATGCCTTGTTGCCCTTCAGATATCTAAGTGTGTTCCAGTGGTAAGGCTGCATATTCTGCTTAGATCCCTGCTTTTCAGGACGTTTTGAAGAAAAGCATGCATAACGTATCTCAACCAAAATTGAGGAACTCTCTTTTGACAGGGACTGGAGGAGTCATTCCACATTGAGCAAGACTGGACCTAAAAGAGAAAAGGTAGGGGGTCTAGATTTTTGTTCAAGTTTGTTAAATCTGGCAAACTTGAAGAAAAATCTAGATTATTAAAGCTATTATTATAGCTAAAATTATTTAATGGAGGCTGTTATGTTTTAGTCATGTTAGGAGAAGACAGAACTTGCTGGAGAAGACAATAATGTTAGGAAAAATGGGAAGGAGTAGGAAAAGAGGAAGACCTGACATAAAATGGGTTGATTCCAAAAAAACAACACATAGCCTTTTAGTCTGCAGGGCTGCTAGTGATAGAACCTTTTGGAATTAATTTGTAGAATCACTGAAGTCGGAAGCAACTTGACACCACCTAATAATGTTATGTCTAACAAAAGATCACAAAGCAGCAGACATGTGTTTGCATAAATGTCTGTTTTTCCTTTGCAATGCAAAGCAGCTCAGTTTCCTCACATGCCCTCATTATGTATGCAGATTTATTTCCAAATAGAGGACAACTTAGTCAGGCTTTCTCGTCATTGAGGCAGCTTTGCAAATTGCCCCCTCCCCCACATCCCATGTTATGAGGTAGCCAAGGTCTGGCAAAGGAAGGGTGGATGCAAGGGAAGAGCTTCTGTCCTCTAGCAGCCCACAGTTTCGGGTTGGGCACAAAGGGACTCGATTCTTCATCTCCATGTTTGTATCTGTATTTCTTGCTGCCTGTGACTACCATGGGAGTTCTTGAATACAAATCTGCAAAAGTGCAATGGATTCTACTTCTAGATTCGCCGCCGCCACCCACCCCCAAGAAAAGATAAGAGTTGAGTTCTAGAATATGTAAATGCCTTTAAGCATATGAGAGTGCATTTGCTTACCAATAGCAAAGAGCTTTTGGTCAAATCTCCCACCAAGAACTTGTATAATCTAAGAAATAATGGTGTAAGAAGATGGCTACTTGTATGGATTAGTAACTCATGAAGCAGAACTGCAAGGCAAGACTACGTAAATTATATTTCTCGTCATCTCAGTAATGAGATCTAATAAGGATCTCTGTTGGGCTATTTAACTTCTTTATAAATTATCTGGAAACAGAACCAAGTGAAGTCATGGCCAGTTATTGTATGTGAATGAGCAGGTCCGTGATGCCTTGCTGTTCTAGCCTCTGAACCTTGTTACATTAACACTCATTCATCCATTTAACCATCCACACACACACCCATCTTGAGGATGAGAGGAACAGGTAGAGAGATTTGTAGAGTTACCGTAGAGAAAGATTGGGCTACTTGAGCCATATAGTCAAGTTTCTGAAGTGTTCAACTTGAACACTTGAGGAGCCCAATTAATATTTTTGTGGACTGAACAAGCAAGTATTTGACCATTCTTAGGAAGAATGATTGTGAAATAGAAATTCAGGCTGAAGAGTTTTGGCACCAGGTCTGGAGTGTTTTCTGCTTTCGCAGAAGGGTGGGGATGTAAACGAAACAATTTCAGTCTAGAGAGGTAGGCTACCATTTCCCCAAATATGTATATATTTCTGTGCTTTCAAACTTACTAAGATCTGCATAAGGCAATTTTCAGTGTTACTCTGTAATGCCTCACATATAAATGTGAACTATTTGCAGGAATGAAATGTTTTAGTGTGGCTTCTTTAGAAGCATCCAGCAAGGAAAATAAGAATTGATATAACATCAGTGTATCTTACCATATATTATTGGTGCCTGGAAGGGCAGCAATATATTATGCTGACAACAAGACTCAGCATTACATAAGGCAACTCAAAAAAATAGGGGTGCCCAAAACAAAAAATATATCTATGATACCAGACCTCAGATCAGCACCACACTTGGCACAGATTTAACACTACCATTCCCACTTCTTAAAAAACAGCCCTGACCATTGTTTTGTGCTTGGGTAAGAAGTGGTTACATTATTGTTTTGTGCTTGGGTAAGAAGTGGTTAAGTGATTTAAAAAGGAGTCAGCTGAGATTTTCTTCTGCAGCAACATTTAGCCATTTTCTGGGTTTTTTTAACTGTGGGTACAGAAGCACAACATCCCGCATTCATAAACCAGAGGTGTTTTGAGAGCTGAATAATCCTCTCCAGCTAACTTTCCCATGTTCCTTAATGTATGTTGTTGTTTGTTATTGTCGTTGTTTAGTCGTTAAGTCATGTCTGACTCTTCATGACCCCCATGGACCAGAACACGCCAGACCCTCCTGTCTTCCACTGCCTCCCAGAGTTGGGTCAAATTCAGGCTGGTCGCTTTGATGTCCAACCATCTTATCCTCTCTCGTCCCCTTCTCCTCTTGCCTTCACATTTTCCCAACATCAGGGTCTTTTCCAAGGAGACTTTTCTTCTCATGAGATGGCCAAAGTATTGGAGCCTCAGCTTCAGGATCTGTCCTTCCAGTGAGCCCTCAGGCTTGATTTCCTTCAAAATTGATAGGTTTATTCTCCTTGCAGTCCAGCACCACAATTCAAAAGCATCAATTCTTCAGCAGTCGGCCTTCTTTATGGTCCAGCTCTCACTTACATACATTGCTACTGGAAAAACCATAGCTTTGACTATGCGGACCTTTGTCGGCAAGGTGATGTCTCTGCTTTTTAACCCTTAATGTATAGAAACTTGTGAATAAAGCCATCTTAAATTTATAGTGCATCCTTGTAGCACCTACTGCCCTGCTTCTAGCTACTGAAAAGAAGCATGCAATGAGATTGCTTTCCAGTCACTTGCTTCCTATTCCTGACCATGGTGCTCAACCTGGAGATCAGGATCAGTACCGCCAAGTATGACGACAGGAAACGGGAAACTTTGGCTTACCTGAAGTCCCAGTCCGGCCCTGCCAAACCTCTTCAGCTGGCCCACCACCACGTTCCTTCGTATCCGTGGATGCCCTGACTCCCATTCTTGTCATGTTCAGGAGTGGGGTGTGATCTCATCCAATCTCAAGCTTCTTTCCTGGCTTTAGCAGCAAAGCTAATCACTGTAAGAGGGGCAGGGGTTGGGGGATGGGAGCCTTATTTCTTGTGACCTCCAGTCACTTTCTTTTCTCATCAGAGCAGTCTCCCTGTTCTGTTGCTGTATCTGCTACATACCCCCTTCTGACAGCTGATTAGTTGTTGTTGTTGTTAAAAGTAAGTTTGACAGAAGGAGGTGAAGCCCCGTTCAAGTTGAGTCCTTTCATAAAAAGTCATGCCTCCGTGTATGCAGTCTGGAAACAAGGCTGAATGATCCTCCTCAACCTTGAGTAGGAGCTTGGACTTGATGGCCTTATAGGCCCCTTCCAACTCCTTTATTCTATGATTCTATGACATGAAAACTATACACACAGAAGCTAGAGCTGGAGATCCACAGGACCCTTCATCAGGTTGTGTGTTACATCACTGGAGGTGTTACAGAATAAATATACAAGGCCATTTCGAATATGCCGTGTTATGTGCTTCTGCACAAGGCCCGCTTTGATGAAGGGCCTGGCAGGACTCAAAGTTTCCAAGTTCTTTCAATGGTGCTTTCCCTTTAAAAAAAATTGGCACTGAAGTCCTCTGATTTACTACTGGCTAGACATGTAAGTCCCTGTACCAATTCTGATTTCATTTTTAAAAACATAATTCATTGAGCAGAGTGGTCTGTTTCAGATCGCATTTAGGGAAAACAGGTGAAGATATGTTAAGAAAGAAATTGCAGCTGTTCTCTGCCGTAGCTGCTGCTACACCTAGTGACCAGTCTTCTTATCATTAATCTCTCTATTAGGCTGCTCCTCGCACAAAGCCTGCTACTGGATCTGTATTTGAAGTCTCAACAGCTTGGTAGAATTTGCCTTGTACTGGTGGAGCCTTTGAGAGCCCATAATAAATTGCAAGCTGAGACACTGTACGACGGCGGTTCTACTCTTAGCTGGTGGTCAGCTAATAGTGGATGATGTGATAGGACTTCTGCATTACTCCATAGAGGTATACTATGAGATGCCAAGAGGATTCAGTCCGATTCTTCATGGCAATTCATATTTATTTCACATCCATGCAATCATTCAGCATTTGGGCTGAAGGGCTGGCATTCTGTTGAGAGAAAGTCAACTTTGTTTTTATCTTTCATCTAAACCAAGGCAGATAATGTCAATCACTTACGTGGTAATGACCTCAACAAAGAATTACCGGTTCAGCTGAATATTAATATTGTTTTCCACCAGTAAGCACTCCACTTCAACAATGTTCATCACAGGGAGTGCTGATGGGGCTGTACTTGCCAAGTATGCTCCATCCGTGACCAAAAGCATTGTTGATCAATTTTGGGACCTTTTTTGATGGCTTAAGTTGAATACAACCCATTAGTCTTCCAGGTGGGACAAGACTACATTCTTGTTTTTTACACCACACTTGTTACTGTGTCAGTACCTCCTGGCAGGTACCCTCTGCCTCTGGAAGGACTTGGAGACTTGCTACTAATTAAGAATATAGCTGCCTTTTTTGTTTGTTTGTTAAAAGGGACTTGGCTACAGCAAACATTCATTTGGTTATTGTGGGTTTCTCGGGCTCTTTGGCCGTGTTCTGAAGGTTGTTCTTCCTAACGTTTCGCCAGTCTCTGTGGCCTATCTCACAGCCATAAATACTGCACTCCCAAAGCCAACTACACCAGAGCACAGAGTGCTGTCCTCTGAAGATGCTGGCCACAGAGACTGGCGAAACTTTAGGAAGAACAACCTTCAGAACACGGGCAAAGAGCCCGAAAAACCCACAACAACCATTAGATCCCGGCCATGAAAGCCTTCGCAAAAACATTCATTTATTTTATTGGACATACTTTTGAATTGCTTTGGTCTTCAAGCAATATACAATAAAGCCATATTATGAAAAAAGATTCCTTTTAAAGGAGATTAAAACTTTTCTTTTTAAAGTTTGAGAACCAGGACATCAGACTTGTGAGGAACATACTGCTGTGATGTAAGGCTGGACATGATGGGTTTGTAGTACTTTCCATCCACCTTACTTTCTTTACCCAGTTATACATGTTGTCCTTTAATAAACCTTTTAATTGGACATTGGGCTAACTTTTTTGTATCTTCTGGAGCAAGGCCTACATTGCCTAAGACTGTGTTGAGTCAGACTTGCCACGTCATTTTTGGAATGAAAGGGAGCCAGGAAGAGGAGTGGAGTTTAGTCTTAGCTTGCTGATCTGCTGCAGAGGGTAGTTTATAAAAGAGGGAAGAGGCAGAGACATGTGGCCAGTGACTGATTTGGGTCCGTGACCTTCAAGCATGTCCATCTTTTTCTTCAGAGATCCTCTTACAGAGTTTGAGCTCAGAAATTTTTATTGTGAGAAATAGCAGCATATACAGATGTCTTCCATTGGCCTTCACCTTTAGGAATGCAGAGTAGCATTTAAAATAAAGGTGAACAAGCTCCAGAGATCACCCAAAACAGAGAGAGCTGCATATAGTCCTGTGCCCTGCCCACCCACACACAAAATATGTTTTCCTAAAAAGTAACTTTTTTTCTTTTACTGAAAAAGGACCCCCGCATCCTCTAGCACAGTGATAGCTAACCTTTTTGAGCCCGAATGCCCAAATGGCGACACAAAACCAATTTATTTCTTTCGAAGTGCCAACACTGCAATTAAATCTGAATAATGATGTTTTAGTTTAGAAAAAACAACTCATACAGTTGTCTGAATTAATCAACACCTTTTGTCTTCAAGATATAACAGAACTTTCAATGATACAAACACTTCTTTATTGAAAAATCGGCATTAACTCTAGCATCTTCCCACCAAATTTTTTTTAAAAAATGTGTTTTAAAAAAATTATTTAAAAGTTAGATTGTATTGGGGGAATCGAATTCTGGGAAAGATGCCTATCCCATCTCAGAGAGACCACAACAGGAACATGCCAGCTTATTTTATTTTAAAACACTGAGGGTGTGGTGGTGCTGGTTTTCCATGCAAAGACTACAATATGCCTTTAGACTACATTGTAATCTGACTGAAGGAACTGGAATGCCAGTTGAGTGACTCTGATGCCAGAGAGGCAGCTGGATTAATTAGAACTAATTGTTTACAATGCAACATTGCAGAGTCTGGACCATCACCCACATTACACAGAAATACTTCAAATACATGACTTAAAATCATCTTTTCCCTTTTTTACAATATCTAGGTTGGCCTGAGGAATTCTGTACAACTTTTCAATTTGCATCTGACTGGCTCGTTCTTATCTCATGGAGGTAATATTTTATTATTCCTGTACAGTAGGAAGGTAGCTTGTGTCTGAGTCCTATTTATCTTTCATTTTTCAATCCATATCCAATGTCTACTGTCCACCTAGTGTAGTAATAATCTCTGATTACCTATTAAGATTTTCTTTTCATCCTTTTATAACTGCCCTTTTTTGTTATTGTTATACAAGTGCTGTTCAATGTACTAAGGAAAAAGTTGAATTCTCCCATATGTAAGTATTTGTCTTGCCAGCTGCTCATGCTTATAACATTTCCTTATCTTTTCTCAGAGACTTGCAAGACCAGTATGTTACATTGTAACATCTTTGCTAAGCCACACAGGATGCTTTTGCCTGATCAACCAGGCCTCATTCTGGTAATTCTTGCTTGATTTGTCTAGGGTTTGCTAAAATAATTCTTCTCTCTAAAGCTATTATTTTATGATGTAGAATTATTTATCCATCGGATATATATCCAACCTTTTCTCTAATGAGCTCAAGATGGTATATGTGGCCCCTCTACTCACTTTCTCTTAACAAGCACCCTATGAGCAAGGGCAGGGTGAGTGTGTGTGTCTGACCTATATTTTGTGGTGCAGTGGGAACCCACATTTTCCTAGTCTAACACTCTAACCTCTATGCCACACTGGTTCTAGGAACAAGGTGTGTTAGATACCGTATTTTTCGCTCCATAAGACGCACCTTTCCATAAAATGCACCAATTTTTTAGGAGAAGAAAACAGGAAAATATAATCTGTTTTCTTTGCTCCATAAGATGCAGAGACTTTCCACCCCCCTGTTTTGTGGGAAAAAAGTGTGTCTTATGGTGCGAAAAATATGGTATATTACGACTTGTTTTCAAGACAACACGCACAGGACTGCATTGTAAATGTTTAACATCTTGTACAATGCCATTTTGTACCATAAAACATGATATTTTCAAGTTTTGACTGAAGATGGTGCAGGAATTAGAACACCATCTTTAAGACTTCTCAAACACAAGTGGTGTAGCTATGAAGAAGCACTTTTACGCATCTGGCAGTTTCTTACACTGCTGTCCACAGCTATTGCACCCCCTTTCCCTTTAAGAAGGGGTTCCCACTTTTGATGAAATCAAATAAGTATTCCAAGAGATAGGAATATTTTATTTGCATGCTATATAATAAGCAAGGCAAATAGGACTGTGCAAGTTTTGCTTTTCAGTTTCAACTATAAAGAGCAGCATCAGCTTCTTAAATTTATTCAATACTTTCATAATTTTCTTTTAATATTTTCAGCAGCAGACAGCAAAACAGGATCCCAGTTAGCTGGTAAGAAAGTACAGAACATAGAAAAGGGTTAAAATAAATGTTTCATTCATTGAGGAAATATTAACATGAGCATGGTTAAATCTGCCAGTTTGGGTGTCTTGACAGTTTTCTACTGCTCCAGTTCCCCTTTCATGCCATTCCACTTTTTAATAAATTTGCACATTTAAAAAAAAACCACATAATTATTATCCATTTTTCAAATTGATTTATCTTAATACACAAACTTTTGTTTGTAATTTTATCCATGGCATGCTTTTTTGTTACTTTTTCCCTGTTGTATGTGCTTTTCCCAATAATATATATAACGCAACATACAGCCATTAAAGTCTAAACTGCTGGCAACAAAAGTGAGTACATCCCTAAGTGACAGTGGCCAAATTGGGCCCAAGTAGCTGTTTTCCCTCCCTGGTGTCATGAGACCCCTTAGTGTCACAATTCTCAGGTGTGAAGGGGGAGCAGGTGTTATCGCTCTCACTCTCTCAGACTGGTCACTGGAAGTTCCACATGGCACCTCATGGTAATGAACTATCTGAGGATCTGGAAAAAAAATGAATTGTTGCTGTACATAAATATGGCCTAGGCTATAAGAAGATTGCCAAAACCCTGAAACTGAGTTGCAGCATGGTGGCCAAGACCATATAGAGGTTTAACAGGACAGGTCCCACTCAGAACAGGCCTCGCCATGGTTGACCAAAGAAGTTGAGTGCCTGGTCTCAGCATCATATCCAGAGGCTGGCTTTGGGAAATAAACGTATGAGTGCTGCCAGCATTGCTACAGAGGTTGAAGGGGTGGGGGTTCAGCCTGTCAGCGCTCAGACCATACACTGCACACTGCATCAAATTGGTCTCCAGGGCTGTCATCCCAGAAGGAAGCCTCTTCTATAGATGATGCACAAGAAAGCCCGCATATGGTTTGCTGCAGACAATCCATGGATTTCTGGAACCATGTCCTGTGGTCCGATGAGACCAAGAAGAAACTGATTTGGTTCAGATTGTGTCAAGCGTGTGTGGCGGCAACCAGGTGAGGAGTACAAAGACAAGTGTGTCATGCCTACAGTCAAGCATGGTGGTGGGAGTGTCATGGCCTGGGACTGCTTGAGTGCTGCCAGCAGTGGGGAGCTATAGTTCATTGAGGGAACCATGAATGCCAACATAGACTGTGACATACTGAAGCAGAGCATGATCCCCTCCCTTCAGAGACTGGACTGCAGGGCAGTATTCCAACATGATCACGACGCCAAACACGCCTCCAAAAGGACCACTGCCTTGCTAAAGAAGCTGAGGGTAAAGCTGATGGACTGGCCAAGCATGTCTCTAGACCTAAACCCTATTGAACATCTATGCGGCATCCTGAAATGGAAGGTGGAGGTGCGCAAGATCTCTAACATCCACCATCTCTGTGATGTCATCATGGAGGAGTAGAAAAGGACTCCAGTGGCAACCTGTGAAGCTCTGGTGAGCTCTGTGCCCAAGAGGGTTAAGGCAGTGCTGGAAAATAATGATGGCCACAGAAAATATTGATACTTCGTGCCCAATGTGGATATTGTCACTTAGGGGTGTACTCACTTTTGCTGCCAGCAGTTTAGACATTAATGGCTGTGTGTTGTGTTATTTTGAGGGGACAGCACATTTACACTGTTATACGAGCTGTATACTCACTGCTTTACATTGTAGTCAAGTGTCCTTTCTTCTGTGTTGTCACATGAAAAGATATACTAAAAATTTATAAAATGTGAGGGGGTGTACTCACTTCTATGATATACTGTATATATTTAGTGGGCAATTTTGTTTAGAGAACAGCAACAAGTTCTGATAAGTGCAGATGCTGGAGAATAAATGCATTATAATTCACAGGTTAGTTCAGCAAATGCATATTTGAAATTCTGACTGAGATTTGAACTGAATAAAATTCTCCCCAATCCTTAGTATGTATTGTGGTTATGTATTTCAACCAAATATTAACAAGGGCTAGGCCACATTGACAGGAATGGGCTGTATTGCTGCAATGGGGGCATGAATTGGACAAAACTGCACATATCATCTTCTGTTATTGGAACTATTAGGAAAGCCAAATGCTATGGCAGGGTTTCCAAGTAAGCCCCACCCCATTCCCTGAGGTTCAGCGCCAAAACCTGGGAGCAGGAGTGGTTCATTATGAGGTCATAGAAGTGAGGCAGGCAAGAGTTCGGAGGGGGCAGAACTGCTTCTGACCCATCTGATTTTAGAAATAACGGATGCCAAACTTTTTAGTTTGCAAGCTCTGAGGAGAGCTGTCAATGACAGGGTATTTTTCGAGATCGCTAACCCTTATAGAGTCGCCGTTAAATCAAAAACTCCTTCTCTAACATCACTCATGCTGGGAAAGCATAGAAAAGCCCCTGATATATCAGATGGTGAACTGGGAACTCCAGATACTGGGCAAACCTTGTCTTCTGATAAAAAAACATCACAGATAATGTTCAGAGGTATACATCCTTGATATTGCAGTCATATAACACTTTCTACTTACCTGTGCAAGTCCAATAAAAATCCCAACCCCTCCAAACACAGCCATGTGTTCTTCAACCCAGTTCTTCAATTTTAGGACACATCCCTGAGAAAGAAAAAAAAAGATAATTGCTGTAGGAGGCACTGTCAAAAGCAAATATACAGAGTGCTAAACCATGATCACTAGGTAGAAACTGATTTGAAATTTTTAAAAAACCTAAAACAAATTGCTCCAACTGTTTCTAATTGTAGTATGCCTTGTTTCAGACAGAGACGGCAGCTGCTGATGTCCTTTAACAACTTTAAAGTTTGACAACTTTAGCCACTCTGGGTCTTCTTGAGGAAAATGTGGAGCATAAATATTTTAAATTACAAATAGACAACACGGCTTAAGCTATGAGAAGAAAAAGTAGCATTCTTTCCTGAAATCCAGAAGTCCCACTCCTTAAGTCCACAGTTTCAACCCTATCATACCACCCATGAATTTCTGAAAACTACTTACATCAGCATGGCAGGAATATCATAACCCTCCAGTGTGCATTCCATTATAAGAGCACAGATCCTGTCAAGAGCTATGCTTCTGAATTTCTGGGTACTCACAGGCCTCAAATCAGTTCCCATTCCACCGTTTCGTAACAGTACGGTTACAGATTATTTGCACATGGCAAAATACCGATACTCCCTTTCCTTCTTCCCATCATTTCCCTCCATTCTACAACACTAAAGAAAGCCAGAGGTCACACAGAGATCCCAGTATTTAGGACAGACCTAGCCAATTAGTGCAGCATGTTTACATACTAGCCAATCTCCAAAAAAACAAACAAAAAAGGCCTGACCAAGAGAATTCATTTCGATTGACCCCAAAATCAAGAGACTTGCAGAACTTACAAATCTATTATGCTGTCATTCCGGGTAACCTGTTTAAATCCAGTGCATGAGTACAGTATTATCAAACCCCCTATTTGAATGGACTGGGGTGTCAGGGAATGGTATCAGAGAGGGACTGGGCCTCAATAACATCAAATGAGTGAGCAGGACCCACCTCCTATCATCCTGTCAACTTGGTCCTGGAGGGAGGAAATGTGCACCATATAACCAAACTGCTCCTCCACCCTGACGTATAAGGTTATGTAATTAGGCACAAGATCACTCCACTTTCTGCACAGAACACTCAATTCTCCTTCCATTTATATACTGGTTAAAAGCCAACAGGGTGATGCTCAACAAAATAGAAACAAAACATAAAAAACAAAACAAATTATTAAAATACTGTTTACAGAACTATATATATAAAATGCTCCATTTGCCTTTCGGTTTATGCCTGTTCCATTTGCTTACATATACCTCCAGTTGTGTGCTGCATGTCCACATTAAGTGGTCTTAAGGAGAGAATATGTATTTGAAGAGAAAGAAGTCCAAGATGAGCTTCGCAATGATACTGAATTTACCTGCTGATTAATCCCTATGGTGTATTTGCTGAGATCTGTGACACAGCTTTCCACAGGTACTTTACAGCAACTTCTTGGAACGGAGGAGGAGAGAAATCCAAATGTTGTGTTGAGCCAGTCAGTATAGTTCTCTGCGCCACAGCACTGGAACTACAAAGCAGAGGGGAAACCATTTAGTTTGACAAGAGGTGTGGCACCCCCCCCCAAAGAAACCATAACTGGTGAAAATCCAATTCCTCAATCAAAAGCCCTCTAAAACATATTCTCGTCCCCAACCATTCTTTCTCACCTAACCAATCTCATCTTAATCTGTCCACATCTTCAATGGCAGGACAGTTACAGCCCATGAGATGCATATGTTGTCCTTCTGCATATTACAAACCAGAGCATGGAAGTTAACTAGTTACAAATCATGTTACCTGTAATCGGTATAGAACTAAGTTACACTGGCCACAATCCTATTGGTTAATAATAAGAAGAATCATCATCATAGAACTGCAGATCATTGAATCCAGCCTATCAAGGAGGCACAGTCAGGGAATCAAACTCACAATCTCTGACTCTGCAGCCAGATGCCAAAACCACTGAGCTGTCCAGCAGTCCTGCTTGTGCAACTGAAATAGCATTAATAACAGCAAATTACTGGTAATTGATGAGTTTCTGCTTGTATTCTTTGCCATGGGCCAGTTGCCTAGTGATTTCTGCCACTGCTTGACACTGGCGTAAATAACCAGCAAAATTCTGGCCTTTAAAGCTGTGACTTACTGAGGAACCACTTTATCTCTTTTGTGAGGTACTTAGCGATTGGCAGGTCTTTGTCTAATCCATGTTGGCAGCAGTGAAATCGGTGCCCAGCCTGACAAAGACATGTACAGAATCCAAAACTAGCTTCTGTTTTTCATATTTGGTGATTGAATAAAGGCATCACACACCCTGGTCTTATCCTTGTTACTTTTAGACAATATAGTATGACCTCACTTAATAGTGGAAGAGGAAATCACACAGTTCAGGTGCTGGCTTCTGTTGTGCCTCACAGTCTGTTGTTCAGATAAGTTTAAAAAAAAAACCTCCAGTTATTTCAGTCACATTTGGGGAAAAGGGGGATAAAGGGTTAACCATGTGTTTAAAAGTAATTATAGCAGTATTTAGCTATTGCTAGGGTTTTTTAGAAAGTAACTGTACAAGCACTGGTCCACACTTTAAACACTGCAAGCTTCTCTTACAAGATGCCCAACAAGCAATGCCTTCATACAATTTTCTCTCCTCTGCAGTTAATGTCTTCTTGACCACATTTCATTTTTGCCCTTCATCCTAGCTCTGTGGTTTTCTAGCCTGTTAACCAATCACCTGGCAACACTATAATTACTCTTTGAAATGGCAGAATAGAAAGAGGGAGAGGGCCTTTGTTCTTCATTGTCTGAGCCCCTTGAGTCCAGCCAGATGTTGAGTTTGAATTATGGCCTTTAAAGCTGTGACTTGACCACATTTCATTTTTGCCCTTCCTCCTAGCTCTGTGGTTTTCTAGCCTATTAACCAATCACCTGGCAACACTATAATTACTCTTTGAAATGGCAGAATAGAAAGAGGGAGAGGCCCTTTGTTCTTCATTGTCTGAGCCCCTTGAGTCCAGCCAGATGTTGAGTTTTACCAGTCGTTTGCTGCTCTTTAAAGTTAAGACGTTTGATTTCTCCCGGAAGGAGGGATGTTTACCTGTCTCTGTAGACTATCCACACCCTTGGTGATATGCAGTTCTCTGTTATATTTGTCCAAGGTTCTCAAGACATCTCTCAATAAAGTTTGGTGCAACTGTGTTAACAGAAACATAGGAGGTAGTTCAAAAGGCATTTGAGTATAGTACGCTGGTCTTTAGAGGCAGAAGAAATACACTTTAATGTGTGAGAACAAAGCAAAATATTAACAGAAGCACCAGAAAAGAGATACGTTCACCACTCAAGCACATAAGGACGTTCACCACTCAAGCACATAAGGTAAAGGTAAAGGTTCCCCTTGACAGTTTTTGTCCAGTCGTGTTCGGCTCTAGGGGGTGGTGCTCATCCCCGTTTCCAGGCCATAGAGCCAGCGTTTTGTCCGAAGACAATCTTCCGTGGTCACATGGCCAGTGCGACTTAGACACAGAACGCCGTTACCTTCCCACCGAGGTGGTCCCTATTAATCTACTTGCATTTGCATGCTTTCGAACCTCTAGGTTGGCGGGAGACTGGTCTTTAGAGGCAGAAGCAATACACTTTAATGGTAGAGAACAGAGCAAAATATTAACAGAAGCGTCAGAAAAGAGAGATACGCTCACCACTCAAGCACATATTGCACCTTAATTATTACTCTCTTCATGTGGAACACCGCATGCAGCTAAAGGGCTGTGGTGTTTCTCCATCTGGCCTGCAGGCATCTTCCACTACTATCTCCTGTTGGTCACAAGGAGTCCTAGGAAACTATTACATAGAATAAAACCCAGGAAATAGATGCATTTGGGCTTACCCTGGATCAGATATATATAGAATCAAGCTGGGCTTTCTCTGCTTGGTGGGGAATATCAGTAACAATGTGATCTGACCCTGCTCAAATTTGCTTTGGTTCTTGAACCTCATATCCAACTGGAATGTTGGCTCCTGAAAACGGTCCCACATTGCAAAGTATTCCCACGACATGTAGATTTCCCTCCAGCACTGGCTTGTTGAAAGGCTGTCTACTCACCCATAGAACTTCATTGAGTCAGTCACAAGCAAGTCATTGTCTAACAGCCTAGCCTCCCTCAGGGACCTTTGCAATGATAGATACAAACCACATTGGGAAGGGTCCATGTAGATAATTTCTAGAATCTAGGACCAACCCCTTCTTCCTTTTCTGAGTAGCTCATAGCTTAAGAAGATGAGAAGGAAGGGTGGAATTCAAATGTCCAAGTGGACTCTGGCATGTTTGAACTGTGACTTATATTCAGGTTCCAAGCTTTACATTACATATTTACTAGATTGCAAGAAACCTAGTGTCCCGCAGCTGCTAACACATCTTTTGTATCTTTGTTGTCCCAAACAAATAACTTTTTTTTTGCTTTTATGCCAGTCTCTTATCAAATATAAGTAGAAAGGGCAGTGTTTTGACTTTTGTATTATGCAGCTGCCTAACTCTGCCCAATAGGGCTGGTCCTTCTTGATAAAGCAGACTTTAGAAGACTCCCAATTAGAGATTTGTCTCTTCTCCGCAACTTTCAAATATGACTTTCTTACTGGGAGAAAAAAATTTTTTTACCTTCTCTCTGTAAATACAGACAACTGCTCCAGCTATGATTTCAGTTATCAAGAGTGCCAGCAGTATACCTGTGAACTTGTAAGAGAAAGGGTCTTTTTCAGCTGAAAGGCCAGGGACACAAGAAAAATCAGTACCACATCTCAATAAATCTTTTAAGAACTTGTAGAAAATACCATTGCTATTTTCTCATTTAACATTATTTCTCCAACCCTTACTATCTCATACCTTAGTTCAGTTTCTAATCCCATCTAATGCGCTCAGATAAAATACCCAGAGAGCCAAACTCAACATTAATCCATTATGGCTGGCACCAATATACTGACATAGATCACTGATAAGGAAGTCATGATTAGGAATTTTTTTTAAAAAAACCAATCATGTCCAAGTTGAGCCACCAGTACCATACATGGTAAAATAACCTGCTATGGTTATAGAATAGCCATTGTTTATACATTCTCTTCCAGGACAACATATTTTGGGGCATGTGTTCAGGATTAAAATCAACAGGCACACAGTCAAATGGTATGGTTTCCCCCACCTCCTGAAAGGGCCGGGATTTGAGATGAAGCACAGCTACCAAACTTATACGTGATTTGTTGCTTATTACAAGTTGATTTGATTCAGATGGAAATTGTATGTTCTTGTATTATACTAGTTATATTATACTAGTTACTTATATTATACTAGTTGCTTAATAAAACTAATGTTCCACAGTTGTAAAGTTTGTCACTTCTGTTAAAAGACAAATATTATACTAGTTACTTAATAAAACTAATGTTCCACAGTTGTAATGTGGAGGCAGTGGGCAAATTAGCTCGGCAAGATTGCTATGTGTATTATCGTCAATACTTTGCACATACTTAAGTAACAGTTATATATTTATTCTCTGTACACTCTAGTCTCATGACTGCTGTAGATATTTGATCTGGCAGGTGACTCTACTGGCCAGAGCAGGTGAATGCTGCAATAAAAAAATTCTGAAGAATTGCATGTATCCCAGCCAAAAACCATGGTACCTCCTGACCTAGGCCTACCCTGTAACTTCAGAAGGCAGCAGTGGCTGAGTGATCAAAGGACTATTCTTGAGTACATTTGAAGGCAGTGCTTTGAGAAGCTCAAGTGAGAATTACACTTTTTACTAACCTAGACAGTACTTACCAATCTCATCATCTTTAGGTTGCATTTTAGTAGAGCAACAGCCCCAAAGGTAGATATAAGGATTATGAGCGTGCCAATAACCGTTATGATCATAGGAACTCCTGAAACAGCTTCATTCAGCACCAAAAATGTATCATGGAATTTCACTTGAATGGACACTCCTAAGCACATTAACACAACTCCAGAAATCTAGAATTATAAATGTTAGAGTCACAACCAGAAGTTACAAGAAAATCAAAATGCCTCCAGACAGCATGCATACAGGCTCCCAACCCCACCATACCCTAATTCTCATTCATAAGAGACTGCAACCTCTTGCTAATATCTGTTAGTTAAGGCATCACAGATACAGAATTGGATTTAATGTAATTGCTCATTCATTTCAGCATAGGACAGGGCTATACTTTCACCCTACAAACTAGAAATCTACAATGGTGATGGAAAGGCAGAAATGCAGTAACATCTCGTGTATTTAAGTGGTAATTAAGTCCCACCCCCACCCCCCTTATGTTCTTTTGATGGAAAACATCACTAAGCATTTTTAAACACCTCCAAAACACAACACTGGGAAGTAACTGGTTACAAGTATCTATCTGTCTCTAGTTACCATTTGGATAATTATTTTGAGTAATGTAATAAACACATACAAAGTTACAGTTGAAATACAGCATGTATTTATTAAGTTATTTGGGGTCCAATCAATGTTTTCTAGTTATAAAAATTAAAAGACATTTTGAAGCAAATGTTTTCGTTATGTTCTTTTGTCAATCACAAGGGAGGTTGTTTTACTTTCTGTTTTTGTAATGTCTGAGAGCCAGAGTAGCACACTGAAAGCCAGTATAATGTTTAACTAGCATTCAGGAGACCTGAGTTCAAATCCCTGCTCAGCCATGGAAATTCACGAGGGTGAGGTAGTGGTAAAACTGTCATTTGAATATCTCACAAATCTTGGAAATCCCATAAGATCACCAAAAGTCAGAATCAATTTGATGGTGCACACACAAATATTTGAAAGATGAAATAAACGAAATGGTCATTAGAAGGAAACAGAGATTTTGCTTACATTTTCTCCCAGGGCTGCAGGCAAGAACAACACAACATGGAAATAAGATAACATCCAACACTAACGGCAAACTGGCTGCAAAGAAGTAATGGGCAACAAAACCATTTTTTTTAAAAAAAATGTGCCAACCTCTAGAAAATGCAACTTTACTGTCTATGGCAAAAGAAAAAAAAAGAAAAAGAAAGAAATTCCACTTAGGACCTATTCTGGATAACTCAGATAAAGTCAAAGTGAAAAGATGATTTTGTAAAAAAAATACGGAATGCAAGAAAAGGCCCTCTGTTTTGCATGAGCCCAGGAGCGTGTGTTGAAAGAGCAACCGCTTGCACTGTGGCTAGAATGAATTAGAGATTCATTCTAGCCACAGTGCCTTTGTTGTCAGTACAATTAAATCCAGACTGGCCAACTGTACTTAATGGGTTAAATTTGGGATAGGCAATGGTCCTTTTATGTACCATATGACCCACGTACCTTAGGGTCACACCATCTGGATTCAGCCACTTTATCTTACACTAGCAATGTTCACTGAAATGACAGAGGACAGAAGCATTTTTGTTTGTAATGAAGACATTACACCATCCTAGTTACTATAAACAGGAGATTAACTCCACGATAAACGGAAGCCGTTTAATACATACAATGTCACAATGCATTCCAGGACTGCTCCAGATGGTCCAAATATGAGAACTAGCCACACAGGACAAGGGAAGGAAGACAAGAGCTCTCACAACTACCCTTTTGAGCAGGATTTTCAAGTGCATCTTTAGAAAGATGCATGACAGGCCTAAATTTAAACCTTAACTTTTTCCCAGCACAGGGATACAGAGGCCAACATTCAGAAGAAGCACTTATTTGGGTGGGAAGGGGTAGCAGCCCTGGGAATAACAGCCAGCATTGTCTAAAATGAACCTGCTCCGGGCACTGGAGCATGTTGTCCTCTGGCCTCTCCCCCTCCTCAAACTTACACCTGCAGCCATGCATGTTTCTTTCCCATTTTCTACCTGTTCCAAAGAAGTGCTTGTAAGAGTTCAGATAAAGCTGCAGGTTGAGATTAAAAGAAAGAAACAAGCATTGTATTTTGCACAAAAGTAGTAATGACGTTGTTACATGCTGCCAGTTAGTACCTGATTTACAGAAACTCTAACAGGGCTTTCAAGATATGTGAGATTCTTAAGGAGTGGTTTTACCATTGCCACTCCCAGTTAGTCTCCCTGGCTGAGCAGAAAGCTGGATCCAGGTTTCCTAAGTCACGTCCCACTACTGTATCTACTACATCACACTCTTTCTTACAATCATAAATATAGTACATCCTTTATTTTGTCTATTCATTTGATGAAATTTGATTCAAATTTAAAGCAGATTGGAACTTATATGTAAAAGACTGTCCAAGTTTGAGGCAGTTAAGTGGAATACAGCAATAGTAGAACAACACATGAGCAGCCCCCGATGTCACTGTTTGTCAGAAATAACTAGACTACCTGAAGCAAACTGCAGTGTTGGGTGGAAACACAATATTTAAAATTGAGAGAACACCATTGTGAAAATAAAGCTTTTAGATCCACAAGGTCCTTATTTGCTCCATTTTATTGCTATATGTGTTCAGAAGCCAACATCTTATGAGGTAGTCCTATAATTACTTGTGGGTGGGTGGGGGTATGCATTTCCAGGTCACATTCAAAATATCATGACCCTAGAGTTTTCAAGATGTGTGAGAAACCTAAGGAATGATTTTACTAGTGCTGCTACCATCCCATGAGTTTCCATGGCCAAGCAGAAATTCACGTGGGAGTAAATCTAATTGAGAATGATATCACTTACTGTACTTCTAAGTTGGTGTGTACAGAATCACATAGCTGGTGTGTTCAACTAACTGCTGAAGAATTCTGAGACCATATTAGAAAGTCTCTCTCTATTAAGCTACATTAGAAAAACCAGAGAAATTCCCAGCCAATTCAAAAAAAAGTCAGCTCATGAACTCTCTCTCTCTCTCTTTCTTTGTAATAATCGTCTCTACAGTACTACTACATTGACCTCAAGATTTTCATACCAGACACATGTGTTTCCAACATTTGGGATCTAAATATTCCTCTGTTAACACATGGCAAAGCCTAATATAATTGAACAGCAAAGATCTTAGAAAAAAAAACTTACCCAGTAAAGTAAGATAGCCAGCCATAAACAAATTCTAATAACCCTCTCCCAATTAGTAACCTCTTTTTCCTTCATCCTGATTTCTATCCTATCCCTCCTAAGACCTCTGGCAAGGATAGATATACGGACATAAATCAGTGCTTCCTGTTGTCACAGCTGTCATCAATTTCAAGGGAATGCTTCTTTTTATGTCAAACGCCAACAACCTTTTACAAGAACAGATTTGTTAGCAATCCCGAACAACTTAATCTGGAGTGGCCACACTGAAGCCAATGGAACGGCTGAGATAAGGTGGTATGTTGCTCCTGAAGCAACGCACCTCAGCTGTTATGTATTGACTTGATAACAAGAGGCTTCTTCATCATGCTTTCTAATTGCCTCCTCCCAATCACTGTGAACCAGTGAGATAAGGCACTTAGCTCATTTGTGCTACCTCCCTAATAAAACCCAAGGCAATGTTTTAACTGGGTTGGACTTTGGGAAAAAGGGAGCAAAACTGAAGCACACATAAGCGGTGATGCCTTCTGATCCAAACCCAGAGCAAGACATACATCCCACTTGGACCACAAGCTGTTTATGACAAGAAGGATAGATTCTAGAGTCTTTAAATAAGCTTGCCTTCCAATAGATTTAAAAAAGAATTTTCAGCCAGTGCTCCTGTCTTTGTCTTGTTGATTTCTCTTTGGATAACAGTGCTGAATGCTTTAGTGCAGAGGTGGGGATTATGAGCAATATGCTTAGACTGTAACTACCACCATCCCCAACCTTTGCCTATTTGGCTGAAGCTAATGGGAACTGGAGTCCAACAATGTTTGTAGAATTACAAACACACATCTCTTTCTCTGCTTGTTATCAGGAACAGAAATATCTCTGAAAATAATAACAGTACTGACAATAATATGTTTATTAAAGATAATATAATAATACATTTATTATCTGAGTACGACGTTACTAATAAAGAGTAATATTAAAGAGATTAAAAAGCGGGGTGGGTTTATATCGAGCTCAACCACAGTTACGCTTCTTTGCTCTGCATTCTAAGTATCTCTATTGAGCAGTTCCCTTTCTTTTAGCAAGCCAGAGCCTATATTGGAACAGCATCAAAGCTGGGTGTTAAGAACAGTAACATATGCACCTGCATGGAAAAATTGTGGGATCTCTTTTGCCAATGTATAATAAAAGCAGCCATCAGTCCTGTTTCCCCCACTTTCCTTTCTTCCAAGTATGGACTAACTCTCACTATTTTAGCACTCTGGTGCCTCTTCCCCCCCCCCCCCC